AATTGGGTGAATACATCTTATAACTGATTTACTGGTAGTCACGAAAAACAATACTTAATTCGAAAAATCTCTAGTCAATTTGGCTTCAAGGCCGAATTTCTATGATCGTCAGGACCCTAAAGTTGTAGTTGTTTCTTAGAGCCGACTGCCCTCACTTAGAACATCTTTGCTTCATTTGCGAAACTTCCTTCCAATTCCTTTTCCTCTGATTCACGAGAGATCCCTGATCCATGAGTCTCATTTTTCCTTGTCTTTTCATATCCTTGTTTCCTCCGAGTTTGCTTAGGCAACAGGCAAAGCTATCGCTGACTCTGCCTTCTTCTAATCTTCTCTTTGAGGAGTTATACCTTAGCGCTGGGAATCGCAAGACAAAGCGACAAGTGAAGTCGATCATTTGAGCAAGTGTCTGTTAAACAGTTGTGGTATCTCTCCATCTGTCTTGGGCTATTCACTTATCTTATACCCTCGCATCACCCCTTCACTATGAGAATTTCTTGTTTGCTTATTTAAATGTGATATGATGTGCCCTCTGAGCCAATTTCATGAGACCTCTTCACACCCCACGCTGGATTTTTGACCTCCTCCTCTCCCTATATACACCATTCTGCTGATAATGTAGATCTGTCTATAATATTAGTCCACAGTCCTCTTCGCATAGGTCAAACCAAAACTGTTTAACAGAAAATAACTACAAAACATGACTTTGCTTCATCTACCAAATAATGAGATATAGGAAAATACCTGGCCTTCCTTGAAATTAACATCTGCACTTCTAATAATGTGACGTAGCGGCTAACGTGTCAAGATTATACATTGCACTGCCATCTTTCGAGTCCCGCTGGGGAAGCTGATAAGACCTAGGCGAGGTCGAAACTGCAGTCCGCCTTGAATAAGAATACTACTTGGAAAGAAAATATGTTGGAAATTCAATGAAAACGTATGGTCTACTCATAGCATTGTGATAAAATTCAACTATCAGTCCTTCATCATCTCAAACGAACTAGTGTGAACACCTCACATATATGTGATTTACTAATA